TCCAGTAAAATATCCAGATATTAAACAAATGTGTGAGACTCTATGGTGTCCCTTATGTCAAGATCAGTGGGATATCTTTATCAACGTATATTCTTAGTCTTCTGATGTCTTAGAGGTCCGTGTTTGCTCTATTCCTATTTTGTAATGTTTAAAGGACTTTTGAGCTCGAATACTGTTCGTTATCTCCATATATTTCATTGATAAAAGTCGTTTATATATCTAAATGCCGAATCGAAGAAGGGACTTTTTCATTTAGTAGTAGGTTTTTTTTTTTTTTTTTTTTTTTTTTTTTTTTTTTTTTTTTTTGATAAATTCCGCTTCACAAGAATACAAAAAGTCGGCTAATAAATAGGCACAATTAACGCCCATGGGAATTCAATGAGATTGTTGGAACATCTGGTCTGCAAACACTAAAAAGGTATCAATAATGAAGAACTCCAGCATTCTTTTTATATCAACTTACGTGTGTAAGTGTCAAGTATACGTGTGTGTAGAATCAGAATGGTTTTAATAAAGTAATTTTGCAGATGACCAACCACAGCATAAAAAAAATTTCCGAGTTCAATTTTTACTGAAAAATTTGTTTCTGATATGAAAAAAAACTGTGATTTGTTATTTCATAAGGAATGGGTGTTTAAAATGTTTTAAAAATTATAGTTTTTTGGAAGAAAAATTATTTCTAAGTTACAAAATGGTTCTTTGGAATATTTCTCCGAGAGCTTGCAGTAGTATCCAAAGGAAAAGAACTTATAGTTTTATCATTTGCACACATATATACGACAAGCGCAATAACTTCTATATTTTTCGAATTCATTTCATTCTCGAAATCTTTTTAACGGACAAATTTTTGTCCTTTGGACATCATTCTAGTTAGGCACAAGTCAAAACGGGCTTGCAATCAAGTTACAGACAGGTCGTAATCCCCACCCACCAACCTATTCCAAAAATAAGAAAAAGAATCACAAAAAACGCAAACCATCGCAGACCATGTACATATAAATGGTTTAAAACAATTTTAAAAAGCAAAAAAACTAGTGTTTATCGTATATATAGTGCTTCCAGAAATTGTTCAAAATTTTTTCGTGAAATGTTTTACAAAATATTTTAAAATAAAATATTAATAGTTTTTTTTTTCATCAAATGAGAAGACCTTGATACGGAAGCCCGTTGAGGCCAGTTCAGAGAAAGAAATATTTTTATTGCGTTTAAACGCAATAATTATTGCGTTTAAACGCAAAACATTGCGTTTAATCGCAATAATCATTGCGTTTAAGCGCAAAAGATTGCGATTAAACACAATGTGTATTGCGTTTAAAAGCAAAAGATTGCGATTAAACGCAATCTTTTGCGTTTAAACGCAATACTTTTGCGATTAAACGCAATACTTTTTACGTTTAAACGCAATAATATTTTTGCGTTTAAACGCAATAATTTTTGCGATTAAACGCAATAGTTTTGCGATTAAACGCAATAGTATTGCGATTAAACGCAATAATTTTTGCGATTAAACGCAATAATCCTTCCTTATAAGGATTTGTTTTGCATTTAAACACAATGATACTGTAGTTTCAAAATCAAACATGAATTAGTCGAAGCTTATAATTACATGTACATGTACTAGGATCCGACACTTCAACTTTAAGAAGATCCGATTTGTTCTGTGTCTTTTTGCAAAATTTTCCAGTTTTTGAAAATTGCAGTAAAACAATGGCATCCTAACAACGTGAATGTCTTTAATGTATTAGAACCCAAAACTCTTAATGAAGTCTCTGACCAATTGCTTACGTTTATCACAACAGAATGTTTCAGTGGTATTAATAGCACTTGCCAATTTGATACATGTAGTGCACATCGATCAATCTGTTTTCATTAATTTTGATTTTGATTTTGATCTCATATAAATCCATCACATATGTTCTTGTGTTTACTGTATGCAACCATAGGAAGGGTTATGAATGTACATTAAACTTCATCATGTTGTACGTAATTCCAACATTTCCTCAGTCCTTTCCAAAAAAAAAAAAAACCATTTATACATGTGTAAAACTTGTGACCGCAACGTAGGGGACAGTTTTTTTAACAGAGCAACTGACCAAAACTTCATTAAGAATGTAGAGAATAATAAGCTTAAGACATGTTTCGTTCTTAGGTTGCCTTTGTTTTTACAACCCGACATTTTTTTCTCCTCTATAAATTCTTATTAGTGATTTATCCTTTAAGAGAGCGTTTGCTCGAAGAATTCTGATTCTATAAAGCTAAACAATACGCAATTTCCTCATAAGTAAAAAGAGAAAGAAATAAAAGATATAAGTATGCGTGGGTCCACTGTACTCTGCAAGGTTTGATCCAATGACTGCCTTTAAACACAAAGATTATTGCCTTTGAACTAAAAGATTTTTGCGTTTAAACGCAAAAGTATTGCGTTTAAACGCAAAAATTATTGCGTTTAATCGCAGAAGTATTGCGTTTAATCGCAATAGTATTGTGTTTAATCGCAAAAGTATTGCGTTTAATCGCAAAAATATTATTGCGTTTAAACGCAAAAACTATTGCGTTTAATCGCAAAGTTATTGCGTTTAAACGCAAAAGACTGCGTTTAATCGCAATCTTTTGCGATTAAACGCAAAGTGTTTTGCGTTTAAACGCAATATACATTGCGATTAAACGCAATCTTTTGCGTTTAAACGCAATGATTATTGCGATTAAACGCAATGTTTTGCGTTTGAACGCAATACTTATTGCGTTTAAACGCAATAAAAAATATTTCTTTCTCCGAACTGGCCTCAACGGGCTTCCGTACCATGACGCTTTGTCAGAATGGATTAAAAGTATCAGATGGATGTTAAAATCGCATTAAGCCACTGAGAGGCAATATGAAAACCATCTAACCTTCTGTGTTCAATAATTCAGAAGTGAAAAAAGAATTAGATAAATTATACGATCAGTATGTACTGGTCCCAGCTGACAGAGCAGGTAACAACATTGTTTTTGTTTGTAAGACTCATTATTTTAATTGTTTTTAAGAGGAACTGGGATTTAATTCTACAAGTGGTAATCCAACTTAAACCCATAGCTCCCTTTCTAAGGAGGAAATTCTTCAAAATCATAGGTCAGTTTTGAATATTTTTAATATTCCCAAAAATCAAAATGAATGTGAATTACCGTACCTATACTGAATCCCTAAACCTCATAAAAATCCCTACAAAGATATATAGCCGGTACCAGTAAATGTTCTACCAAGCCTCTTTCTTTATTCCTCACTAAAATGTTTACAGCAGTGAAGAAAAAACTTCGGGAATACTGTACAACAATATATTCCAGAAGTGGTGTAAATCAGATGTGGATACTTAAAAATTCCAAGGAACTTTTAGAAAATTTGAAATCAAAAACATTTACCAAAATAACATTATGACGTACGACTTTTCCACACTATACCCCCCCCCCCCCCCCAATAAATTTAAGTCCAGAGTTTTCGACATCATGGACAGCTGCTTTTTCAATAAAAATGGACTCATAAATACTAACCTTATCCAGTATAGGTTAATAATTAACCATTATGTCATGTGCACCCACAAGCCCGACTTTTGAATAGCGACTTTGTCAAGGGTTTGTGTAGAGGAATGAATATCGCAAAACCTTGACATTGTGAAGAAGTTTGAAAGTTACTCATCCATCTAAACTAGTGACAATAAAATATTCTCTAAACTACATGTATCATGTACAGACAAACATGGTCTGTATACTCAAAGTATATGCTGTAAAAAATTCCAGTCTTAACAGTTAAATGTAATAATTTTAATCCAATTTTCAGTGCATCATAATCAAACATGATAATTAAGTAAAACACAAGTGTAAGGTTACAGTCCATTGACAAAAACAAATTACTGATAATCTGAAAGTCCCTGGAACTCAGAAGTTTCAACCCATTATGTTTATTTGATTCTTCAATATTTAATGGTTAAGCATCGAGATGATCTAATGAAAAAATTTAAATGAAAAGTCAATGCATGCATTTTGACATTCCAAACCATAGGGGAAAATCCTTCTGGACCATTGCAGAAACATTGTACCACATTTGTTGACTCAGCATGTACATGTATTCCTGAGAGATTCATTTTAAATATGAAAATATGGTTTAAAATAAATAGATTATCAGAAATAGAACTTGACTATTCAAGACCTTCATTAACTTCATTAGCTGCAGAACCGTTAGCTTTTGGGAATATTTTAGGAGGACAGGGCAAAGAATTTTCTGAAGAGCTACAGTTCTACAGCTAGTGGTTAATGTGAACTACAGTTTTAGAGCTAGTGGTTCAAGTGAGCTACAGTTCTGCAGCTAGGGGTTCATGTGAGCTACAGTTCTGCAGCTTGTGGTTCACTTGAGCAACAATTCTACAGATATAAATGGTTCATGTGAGCTACAGTTCTGCAGCTAGAGGTTCACAGGAACTACAGTTCTGCAATGAATGGTCTACGTAAGCAATAATTCTACAGCTAGTGGTTCATCTGAGCTTTCAATTCTACAGCTAATGGTTCATGTGAGCTGAATCTCTGCAAAGAGAGAGTACACTAACATTGACGTTTCCTTTATAACATTACCATCTTCAGCAGTATTTTGGTTTTTGCCTCATGCAGTAAAATTACAATTTTGTCCATTTTCTGTTATAAAATTGTCAGAAAAATTCTTTTTAGTAGCAGAGGAGTGCTCTCCCCTTACAGATACCCATATTTCATTACTCTCACTGATAAAAGAAGAACATTATTAAGGTCTAAGGACACGTTCCACGAATATCTGTTTTAGCATTCCTTTGTAATATACCAAAAATCTTAATCAAGCACAAATGCCTGGTAATGTACCCCAAATTTTTGTGAGGAAACTTCTTTAAATCACAAATTCTTGTAAAAAATTATATATTTTTGAGGAATGTGTCATCTGACCTTAATACACTCATCTTATACATGTACTGTCATGATATTCCTGGAATGAGCCATACTTCAAATTCTGAGTTATCACAGTTTTAATTGTCTTCAGCAATGTTTTACACCTTATATACAAATACAGTGTCATGAATTCACAATATACCAACCTATCTAGTACAATCATGCAGGAATGTCTGCTAAAGAATTTCCTTGAGTGTCTTTTGAAGCCTTTTTCTTATTGGGTTTGTTCAAAATCATTAGCACAATAAGTATTGGTATGTGTAACAAACTAAAACGAAACAGTTTTCGTGATGAATTGCTGTCTCCTTGCTGGTAGAACTTCCATCCAAGATATGTAAAGTACAAATTGAGAGGTAGAGACATGACAGAAAACAGAGGGGTGGTTAGATCCACCACTGGAGCCAGGAAACACAGTCCTGTTATTCCTGCTGTGTGACGTAGAGCAACACGTTTACAAAGATTAGGATCCACCACTGACATCATTCTGTACCCTGCCCTGGAATAATCAGGTCTCAGATTCCAACTGAGAGCATTAAAATGGGGGAACTGCCAGCAAAACATAATAGCTGCCATTACCCATGCACCTACAAAAAACGACAAATATTCAATGCTTTCCACTCTTTTTTACAGAGAGAAAAAATATATGTATAAGTACTAGGTGTAATCGTATTGATTGTTTGACATCTCAAATATAAAGTTGTTTATAAAATGAACAAAATTATACAAAATAAGACTTTGCATGGTAGTTTTCTAGCTGGAGAACAAACAGAGTATGTATGGAGCAACAAGATATCTATATCTTATAAACACCATGCTATATATACTTTATATACTTTACTACAACACAAAGCTGATCAATTTCTGTTTTTGTGTGTACACATTGAAATTATGTCCGTATAGTGCAGGGGGTTACACTTACCAGGTCAAGTGTGCCTGCGCAGACTGACCATACCATCAAAGGAGGGATAGCTTTAAAGGAAGGGATAACACTTACCAGAGTCAAACATGCCTGCACAGGCTGACCATTCTATCAGAAGGGAAGCCGTAGGAGAGGAGATTACACTTACCTGGATCCAGTGTGCCCATGCAGGCTGCCCATCCCATCAGAGGGGGGACAGCTCCCACCACAGAGCCCACCCAGGTATTGATAATACTGAGTCTTTTCATGGGAGTATACACCAGAGTGTAGAGGCCAAGGTTGAATGCCCCTAAAGCAGCTGTAAGGGGATTAGCACCCAGGGCCAGAATGGCTAGTCCAACACTGCCAGACACAGCAGCAAATGTCACAGCATGCAAAGGGCTGGAATATAGAAAGTAGTTTTGCAAAAATATCCATGATTCTACCAAATCTATAAGAACACACTGAATGTCCATAAATCAAAATAAGTTTTAATGGTTAAAAACACTATAAAATCTGTAGTTTCTGTTGTTCAATTCTGCTTTTCATTTCAAAGGATTTTTTAAAAGTAGCAGTTAAAATTTTATAACTTTTTTTCTTAAATTTATATTCCATTCCAAACACCAAAGAAAGTGACTGGCCGATTCTGCAGTTTTATTACCGGTATCTCGTCTGATTGAATCGTATTCACAGGTTTTCCTTCTTCAAAATATTTTACAAATCATAAAAATTTGCTCTCTCTCCTCTCTCTCTCTCTCTCTCCATGCAAAAAAAAAAACAAAACAAACAAAAACAAAACAAGAAATGTAATTTCACCTTAGATATCCTCTAACAAGAACCCTGTTTTTGGTCCTGTTCATCTGGGAATCAAATGGCACTTCAAAAAACTGGGGAAAAAATCACATATTTTTATTAATCATATGCTGTGTTCTTTTCCAATATAAGCAAAAGTGATGGAAAACCGGTCCATCACTGCTTATCTGGGTCATCATTTTCTTTTTGAATTTTTACATGATAATTAATGTATAGCAGGTGTGAAATATTGCAATCACCAAAAGTCCATGATTTCAATCATTTTAATTAACACATGAACAGTAAATTGATGATTAATGTCAACTTCACAAATTGTAGCATTCTTGTTCTTGCAAATGTCAATATATTCATGTTTTATCTTTATTTCCTAAATGCAGCCCCATCCTCGCCCAGGCGTCCTGATTAGAACAAACTTAAAACTACACATATGGGAGCATTTCTACAGGTTTAATTTTTCTATTCCAGAGGTTCTTAAAAAGATTTTTAAATTACTGCAGAATCACTTAATTTCGTGGGGTCAAATTTTCAAGGATTGGGAAAAAATTTTGGTTCAAGGGAATTTGATTTTGTGGCCGAAGAAGAAAACTTCATGCTGTAGTACAGAATTTTAACATTTTGTGGGGGAGATAATTTGTGGGTCTCCTCATACCAAGAAACAAACAAAAATTAATCCCCCACCAAAATGAAAATTTTTTCATCTTAAAATTACTGTGGAATCATCTTAATTTATAACGGCCAAGCAACTTTAACAGACAGACAGATAGAGGATCGACACTCTTTGTTCTGATAAGTTCACTTTGCTCAGGTGAGCTTAACCAGAAAAAACTTGAGTAGTTTGCGGGTGTGTCAAATATTCTTGTGTAACATTATATTACATCAAGTCTTATATTTTTTTCCTTAGAATCAATAGAATTTTATTCTATTTTACTTAATTTATCTACTAGACCAAAGGGAAAAAAAATCCTTTGGAATCTCTATTCACTGTTATAAATATAACTCTGACCTGATTTATGGCATTTGCTGAAGCAGATGTCAGCCCTGTACCTATGGTCACCATCAAAAAACCAACAGGATCAAATACAGCTGGAGCCATAGCATAACCTGCCATAGCAGTCAGTACAACTAGACCTGTTCAATAGATACCACAGTAAACATTCTTACTGCATGCCAACATGTAACTGCACATTTAAAAAAAAAACATCACCAATGTAATGAATTGCTCTAAATAGTTTAAATGGTGAATGCTTGGCTAGTACCTGTTAACCTGATCTTTGATAACCTGAAGTAGTACTGAATCAGTTTATTGTAGTCTGTTCTCATCTCTTGCCATATACACTCAGTGATGGATTCCGGATTATGGGCTGGACTTCGATCTCTCCTGTCTTTTTCCAACATAGCTTTGAGCTTTGCAAAGTCTTCAGGATTAACATCAACAGTCAATGTGTCTTCTGACTTTGGAAAAGACACGGTAAATCTGTCACTAATTTCATCTAACATCACAAGTGTCTGTGACTTTTTTATGAATAGTGTAAGGGGAACAGGTCTGAACTTTCCCTGTGGAAATTTGTCTTTGCCATTGGCAGTGGATGCATAACTAATTCTTGTCTCCTGGTGGGAAAACTTCATCTCTTCGTCTTCCTCTGCTGTTTTCAAGTTGGATTCTGATGAGACATATCTTATGTTTCTTATCAGACCATCTTTCTTCTTGAAGGTGTTTTTCTGTCAAATAAATCAAAATACTTCAAAGGTGGAGTCTCATTTGAATGATACAAATTTTAGATTATTCTATACTATTATAGTAGGATAAAGGTATTAGAAGTGAACTCCATTCTTTTGATTTAATTTTTATTTTCATTTTACAAGCACCTGTTCCTTGTTTTAGGGTACTTTATATAGAAAAATGAACATATGATATTGTTCAATATATCAAATCATTCATCTGTTAATCATGGCTTGCTTTTTAAAATATACTGATATGTACATTGTCCATCTTCACTAGCCAAGGGTTTCTGATACGCTACTCTCCTCATAAGCCCTTGGCATACAGTGTTAAAAAAAGTTGGGATTTTTTCTCAAGTTGTGATTGGAGTTGATCGACATCGTTCGACCAATCAGAAATTGTTTTTTGTAAATGATGATATTTGCATTCGGGATATATCTTGACTCTTTAATATCGGGAATGAAAAACGCAAGTAAACAACGATCCGTAAGATAACATGCCATTCTATGAATAGCTATATGGTCACATCCAATATCTTAAGCTACATGCAAAATATGTGATTAAGAATCTATATTGAAGATGTATATTTGCATTTTAACATGTTTAAATAACAAATTAACATAACTCAATACCTTCTTGTTAATTATTCTTTAAAAACATTATGTTTTTAAATACACTTTTTATTTCTGTCGATGTCGCAATCGGTGCGAACCTGGTAAGAATCGTGATCATGTGACGAAAACAATCCCGTCTTCTGTCAGCACCGTATGCCAAGGGTTTATGAGGAGAGTAGCGTATCAGAGACCTTTGGCTAGCGAAGATGGTACATCGTCTAGAAATGAAATTAGCAAACCCTACAGACTAGTCCAAATGTACAACTATGCTAGAAAATACCAATGAAAATTCTAATCTCATCACTCTTCAAATGTCATAGTGGATTTAAATCATAATCAACTTACTTTGAAAGCTTTCGATATAGATTTAATGTAATTTTTCTGCTATAAACTAGCAAATTTTACTACTCTTTATATAATTATGCAGTAATGTGAATTGATATACAACATATTTATTTCATATACAATTATACCTAAAACTGATTAATTTCCTATGTACAATAAAATTGATAGATGTGAATAATTCCATAAAAATCACTGCAATGGGATAGCTTAAATTAGCTATATAGCTTAAAGTTAATTAAGCTATTCAAAATAGCTTGATTTAGCTATTTTACCACAGCCTTTTCTTAAATGTGTTATTTTTTCAGATTGTACAAAAAATCGCAACTTGGTGCAGTGATAGTGTTCAACATTGAACTCTTCTGAAAACAATGCATGTAAAAATCAACTCTTCAAACTGTGTCACCTTGAAAGGAGAGACTTTGCACTCAAAGTTTTAAAAGTTTTGGGGCTATATAAAGCAACTGATTTGTGAACACACGGTTACTTCTTGAATGAAATTATAAAGGAGCTCAGTTATTATGGTCAACAAGATAACTGATTGGTAATAATTCAGCACAGTGTGAAGCAATCATCCACGCCTGAATGCACACAAGGTGGTGGACAGTTATTCAAACAACAGTCTAGACGAACTCCAAAAACAGCGTTTCCGGAAGTAAGAAATTGAGACTGAAAAAGACTCCGAAAAAAGAGTCCGCGCATGCGCACCCATACAAAAAATGGCGATTTTTCGGCAAAAATGATGGGTCTACAAAAACTGTCCGTGCAAAGTTTTTGAAAGTATGGCAATTATAACAGTACTCATCAATGCTAAATAAAAGACTTGGGAAGAGATCGTATTTGTCAGATTTTTTATTTTATTTGCAAAAAAGAAGATATTTACTTTCAAAGCTGACGCTTGAAGTCAGATCAATCACAGAGAAAATGATACGTTTGAGAAGTAAATATGCATAATAAAAGGGATATATATGCAAAATGGAACAATATATATTGTAACTGTTAAAAACTTGACTGAATTTTACACATAAATTAGCAATCCGGTGTTTTATTTGTGTACGATATCTGAATTGAACACGTAAGTTCTTACCATCGTTATTTACAGATTTTTTATCACATACGAACAAATATTATTGTGAAAACATTTTTTTTAACTATAATCTATCAATATGAAAACTTTAAAAACCACTCTTATAGAAATTAAGGTCACAACATGTCTTCTAAAAATGAACCTGTGAATATCTCTGCTCCGTGGTGAAAAATGCGCATTTTCTGATTAAAATAAACACAAGCTGGGTGTCTTCAAAAACAAATAAAAGCACCTTTATTTTAGGAACGACATAAAATTTAAATCAAGGGGACAATAAATCAAATAAGAAAATAATTCTTACCGTCAGTACTGAATTCGATGTCGTATATCCAATTTACTATTATGCAAGAGTTTAAAGCGATAGATACGTAAGTCAGTATCCACAAAATAATTAAATAAATGTATCCATTCAACAAAAATTAAAATAAAGTCACAATGCACTAAATACAGCCATTATGCAGCCGTATATTTGGAGAAAGCGAACGACAATCCATCATTTGTGTACATCCGACGCCATTTTACCGCAATGCATGATGGAGCCAAAGACTTCGTTTTCAGAGTTCACGCCGTTTTTGGAGTTCGTCTAGACTGAACAATGGAAATACATCTTTTGCTTAAACGTATTCAAAATCTGCCATGTAAGAACCATAGTACATATATGAACAGATGAATAGTCAAATACTTGCGACTTTTTGACTATTTCTTACTATAAACATTTTTGTGAAAAACTGCAAATAAATCGCTTTAACAAGCTATTTTAAATAGCTTAATAAAGCTATATAGCTTATTCAAGCTATGTGCACGTGCATGTAGCTAAATCAAAATGTGCTGGACCTGAGTGACAGACCTGGACCCACTGCGTTACTTAGAAACAAAAAGGATGATCATTAAAAATTACGTTGTTTTCTTACCAGATAATTATGTTCTTGGATTCGCCATGCCCACAGACGATAGCATTGTCTGTACATGGCTAGAAATTTACATTTTTCTTACAAACGATGAAAACATGTTTGTATGACATTGATCAATGTCATTCAGTAACAAATTTATCATCTTTCAGAATTACAATTATCTTAAACACTTAAAAGACTCCGAATAAAAAAAAACCATTAAGTTGCACAAGAGTCATTTTAACTTAATTGTATGATTCATTCATATTATCAAATCTTTATGCACGCTTAATCTAGTGATAGTAAGATAACAAATTCTGATATATTAAACATGTTCATTAAACAGGAACAATTCCCCCTCCAATATATATCAAAGTACAACTTACTATGTCATACTTTCATTTTCACTTTACCTTACAATGAGAAAAAAGGTTGCTAATGTTGCTGTTGTTGAGAGAAGGATCAACTATCTTTTTCAGGTGAGTTTGTCAATTTAAATCCAAATCATGTGTCAAAGACTCATTTTCTTTTGGTTAAAATCAAATATTTTTCCTTATACAATTTTTTAACTTCAAAGCAGAGACATATAAAACCATATACATATGTCTCTGTTCAAAGCTGACATACTGGCATTGTATGCTATCCTTTTTATGCCCCCGTATCGAAGATTCGGGGGTATATAGTTTTTGCCCTGTCCGTCCGTCTGTCTGTCTGTCTGTTTGTCCGCAAAAACTTTAACATTGCCCATAACTTTTGGTTGGTTAGAGCTATGGCTTTCGTATTTCACATGTGTATTCCTTGTGACAAGACCTTTCTTTGGGTACCACTATATTTGACCTTTTGACGTTGACCTTGGAGTTTGACCCAGTTTTGCAAAATTTTTCCCAACTTTAACCTTGGCCATAACTTTTGAACAATTGGTGCTAGGGCTTTCATACTTCACGTGTGTAATCCTTGTGACAAGACTTTCCTTTGGACACCAACAACTTTGACCTTTTGACCTTGACCTTGGAGTTTGGCCTACTTTTGAAAAACTTTAACATTGGCCATAACTTTTGCACGGTTGCTGCTAAGGCTTTCATACTTAGCATATGTAATCCTTGTGACAAGACTTTCCTTTGGATACCAAAAATTTTGACCCTTTGACCTTGACCTTGGAGTTTGACCTACTTTTGAAAAACTTTATGCCTGGCCATAACTTTTGAACAGCTGGTGCTAGGGCTCTCAAAGTTCACAAGTGTAATCCTTGTGACAAGACCTTCCTTCCGATACCAACAATTTTGACCCTTTGACCTTGGAGTTTGATGTACTTTTGGAAAACTTTAACCTTGGTCATAACTTTTGAATGATTGGTGCTTCGGCTTTCATATTTCACCTGTGTATTTCTCTGGAGAAGACCTTTCCTTGGGCACCATCAATTTTGACCATTTGACCTTGACCTTGATGTTTGACATACTTTTGAAAAAATGTTAACCTTTTCCATATCTATTCAATGGTTGCTGCTGGGGCTTTCATATTTCACAGGTAAATTCATCGAGACAAGACCTTACTTTGGGTACCAACATATTTGATTTGCATTTGAGAAAGTTTAACCTATGCTATAAGTTGCCATACGGGGGCATCAGTGTTTCACATACACATCTTGTTTAGCTCTACTATTCGGAGACCAGAAGAACTTATGCAATAGTAAGGTGTCTTTTGTCCAGCTGGCTGCCTTTCTGTCTAGCAGCTGTCTAGCTGTCTGTCATCTGTCTGTCTGTAAACAATTTTTATGCCCCCATATTGAAGATTCAGGGGTATATAGTTTTTGCCCTGTCCATCTGTCTGTCTGTTTATCTGTTTGTCTGCAAAAACTTTAACATTACTCATAAATTTTGATAAGTTGGAGCTATGGCTTTCATATTTCACATGTATATTCCTTGTGACAAGACCTTTCTTTGGGTACCATCATATTTTACCTTTTGACCTTGGAGTTTGACTCAGTTTTACAAAATTTTACCCAACATTAACCTTGGCCATAACTTTTGAACAGTTGGTGTGGTGCAAGGGCTTTCATACTTCACATGTGTACTCCTTGTGACAAGACCTTCCTTTGGAGACCAACAACTATGACCCTTTGACCTTGACCTAGGAGTTTGACCTACTTTTGAAAAACTAACTTTGGCCATAACTTTTGCACGGTTAGTGCTAGGGCTTTCATACGTCAAATGTCTTATCCTTGTGACAAGACCTTCCTGTGGGTACCATCATATTTGACCTTTTGACCTTGACCTTGGAATTTGACCTACTTTTGGAAAACTTTAACCTTGGCCATAACTTTTGAACAGTTGGTGCTAGGGCTTTCATTTTTCACATGTGTAATTCTTGTTACAAGACCTTCCTTTAGATAGCAACAGTTATAGCCCATTGACCTTGACCATGGAGTTTGACCTAATTTGGAAAACTTTAACCTTGGCCATTACTTTTGAACAGTTAGTGCTAGGGCTTTCATACTTCACATATGTAATTCTTGTGACAAGACCTTACTTTGGATATCAACAACTTTGACCCTTTAACCTTAATGTTTGACCTACTTTTGAAAAACTTTAACCCTGGCCATATCTTTTGAACAGTTGGTGCTAGGGCTTTCATTTTTCACATGCACATTTCTTGTGAGAAGGCCTTTCCTTGGGCACCATTAATTTTGAACATTTGACCTTGATGTTTGACTTACTTTTGAAAAACTTTAATCTTTTCCATATCTTTTTAATGGTTAATGCTAGGGCTTTCATATTTTCAGGTATATTCCTCAGGACAATAACTTACTTTGGGTACCAACATATTTGATTTGCATTTGAGAAAGTTTAACCTTTGCTATAAGTTGCCATACAGGGGCATCAGTGTTCACAAACACATCTTGTTCAAAATGCTACTACTCCTACAGTTTTGGTCTGAATTCAATATAACTCTGCACACAAGAAGACTTTAGTACAATAAGATAGTTTCATAAGTCTTCATTTCTTATGCAGCTTGTAACATGAGATTTAATTGGATTGTAGGTTTGTAAATTTCCATACACCTGACTTGAGCCAGAAGTAAATAGAATGATGTCACAATGCATATTTTTTCTTCCAAAAACATAGGTAATCAAAGATTATGAAGCTCACCTTGACAAATGTTATCTATAAGTAAGGCAAATTTCACATCATAATTTTTTCTAGAAAATTTTGGTCAGTTCCAACATCCAAAGTAAGTCTGGAAGTTTTCATCCTTAGGTGCACCATCTATGCAAGTTTAAACATAACAGGCCATAAAATTATAAAGCTACTCCAAGAAAATTACCCTGGTCTCTCATCTGGAAAATATAGGTCAGATTCAGAATCCAAAGCAAGTCTGGAAGTGTCCATCCTTAGATACAACATCCATGCTAATTTGGTTAAAATATGGCTAAAATTCACTTGTGGAAAATCGAGATCTAGGTCGGATCCAGCATCCAAAGCAGATTGGTTAGTGTACATCCCTAGATGTATCATCCATGAAAGTTTGGTCCAGGTAGGGCTTATAGTTACTTGGGAATGGGCTGTCCCAAAATATTAACCTGATCGCTCATGTGAAAAATCTAGCTCAGATCCAGCATCTGAACCAAGTGTGATAGTGTCCATCCCTGGATGCATCATCCATGCAAGTTTGGTCAAGGTAGGGCTTATGGTTACCTGGGAACGAACCTGCTCGAAAAACTTAAACCTGGTCACTCATCTGGAAAATCTAGGTCAGATCCAGCATACGAAGCAAGTCTGGTAGTGTCCATCCCTAGATGAATCATCCATCATTGCAAGTTTGGTCAAGGTAGGACTTATAATTACTTGGGTATGGACCTGCTACAAAAACTTAAACCAGGTCACTCATCTGGAGAATCTAGGTCAGATCCAGCATCCTAAGCAAGTATGGTAGTGTCCAATCCTAAGTGCATCATCCATGCAAGTTTGGTCCAGGTAGGCCCTATAGTTACTTGGGAATGGACCTGCGCCAAAAACTTTAACCTGGTCACTCATCTGGAAAATCTAGGTCAGATCCAGCATCCGAAGCAAGTCTGGTAGTGTCCATCCCTAGATGAATCATCCATCATTGCAAGTTTGGTCAAGGTAGGACTTACAATTACTTGGGTATGGACCTGCTTCGAAAACTTTAACCTGGTCACTCATCTGGAGAATCTAGGTCAGATCCAGCATCCTAAGCAAGTATGGTAGTGTCCATCCCTAAGTGCATCATCCATGCAAGTTTGGTCCAGGTAGGGCCTATAGTTACTTGGGAATGGACCTGCTCCTAAAACTTTAATCTGGTCACTCATCTGGAAAATCTTGGTCAGATCCTGCATCCGAAGCAAGTGTGGTAGTGTCCATCCCTAGATGCATCATCCATGCAAGTTTAGTCCAGGTAGGGCTTATAGTTACTTGGAAATGGACTTGCTCCTAAAACTTTAAAAGGGATGCCAACGCTTACGCTGATGCCAACGCTTGGGGTATAGCATAAGCTTATCTCTGCTTCGTTGAGGTGAGCTAAAAAGCAAATAACAAGATTTACATGACATCACTATTGCATTGTAGCACGTAGTAAATTTTATCAATAGTTAAAACAGCTTTGTTTGGACTTGGGTTCACAAAGAATTTATTTGCATGGCTACATAGGAAATAAATTTGTTATCCAGGTCCTATCAAGGGTGTATATCGGTTTTTGATTTCGATGAACGGTGTTGCCATGGTAACTATGAATAGAAATTCCTATGAAATTCTTTCAAAATGCTATTCCTCCTACAGTTTGGGTCTGAATTCAATATTAACTTGGCACACAAGTAGTTTACACTGAGGTCTTTAATTCTATTTATCAGTTTTTGATTTTGATGAAAGGTGTTGCCATGGTTACTAAAAATAGATATTTCTGTGAAATACTTTTCAAAGGCTACTTCTGAATCTCCTATAGTTTTGGTCTGATTTCAGTGTTACTTGGCACACAAGTAGACTACACTAAGATATACCAGTATGATTCTGTATATCAGTTTATGATTTCGATGAATGGTGTTGCCATGGTTAGTAAAAATAGAAATTTTTGTAAAAACTTTCAAATTCCTCTCTTCCTACAGTTTTAGTCTGATTTTGGTATTACTTTGAACTCAAGTAGACTATGCTAGGATACATAATTCTGTTTATCAGTTTTTGATTTCAATGAATGATGTTGCTATGGTTACTAAAAATAGAAATTCCTGTGAAATACTTTTAAACTGCCACTCATCCTACAGTTTTGGTTTGATTGCAATAAATTTTGCCACAAAAAGAGACTCAACCAAGGATTATCATTCTATTTATTGCTGTTGCAAGTGCAAAGTTTCAAGTCCCAAGTGCTACACACTTATCTCTTCCTTTGTTACAAGTACAAACCAGTAGAGCTACAATCTCATCAGAGACTTCTGGTTTTTATGCCCCCACCATAAAATGGCCGGGGGCATATAGTGTTACCCTGTTCCATCACTCTGTCATCATTGACTTTCCTTTCCTTATCTCGGCAACAGTTGCACACACATAGGAATACATATATAGGTCAGGTTCGAATTTGGTCATGGTCCGATGATTTTTGACATTATCTTGGCTACAAATGTGCAATTTGCAATATGCAGTTTCTATTTATTATCTTAGTTATAAATGCATATTTTGTGCATAAATATGAGTTCAGAAACAAATTTAAAACTAAATATGGCATTTTGAAATATTGGCTGCCTTCGGGGGCATTCGTGGCATTACAACACATCTAGTTTTCTCTTAATTCATATATTTAAGTTAACATTTTTCTTTATTTTTAACAGTATTTAAGTTGATATGTTTAAACTAAAAAAGGGTTTTATAGTCTCTATAAATTCATATCAGTGTGTGTATTAAGAAATCTGTGAAAATTATTATTTATACTCAAGTAATGACTGACATAGCAAGTTGTATTGGAAACCAACTTTCTACAATAATAACTCCAAATAATCTATGCAGAAACCAAAAAATATAGATCAGAATACATAATCCAAAGTTCGATTGGTAGTAAACATTTTTTATTGATGCAACATCCAAGCAAAGCTTGCCAGTGCTTGACCTTATATCAACAAAAAGTGGGGGCCAACCAGCATCTACAGAATACTCTACCATAGCACCCCCACCCCCGTATTTTACGGGCCTGGTAATGATTGTACCAGCCAAAATCATGAAAATATTGATTGAGAAAAATTCAGTAATATATTTTATTTAAATTGCTTCCAATTCAATTTTCAATTCAATTCATTCTCACATTGTGTTAAACAACATAGAGAAAATACAACAGCAATATCAAACAAAATACATGATGCAAGGTACCTCCTACTTTTATAAGTACCACTTACATATATTTCTAATCTTTTTGAAACCCCTGGGGGTTTGAAATTTATTTTTCCAGATGTATGTATAGGGATGAAATTAATTTTATTTTTAATGTTGAATAATAAACTTACTAATAAAACTTGTTTCACTTACACAGCTTGTTTTTGTCTGTGAACTTAAAATTCTCTGTTTAAATTACCGTCAGCTTGCTCATCAGTGCATTACAACAAAAGATGTAGATAAAGAAATGTGCAGATATCATGTGAAAACTTTGAAGAAGATAGCAATGAAGAATGTGATAAGACTGTATGTACCAAGTTATTCAATCATCAAGTGTTAATACTTAGTTTAAGTGAAAGTGATGCCAAGTATTGTGCATTTAAAGAAAATAACATCAGCTAATTGTTATAGAAAATATTTCTTTTGATGTTATTAAATTCAAGAAATAATTCAAATAAAGAAAATATAATTCTTTTCTCTTGCCAGTCTTACTATGACAATTAAGCACATTGTTAGAAGTCATTTTTGGTTATTTCCATTCTTATGTCGACACGATATATCCAAGTGAGCTTGAGATAAAAGATACCACAGAGTCTTACACATCTGTTTCATATTTGGATATTTAATTAGAAAATTCTGTAAATGGTAATCTAACAACAAAGCTTTATGATAAACGTAATGACTTTAACTTTTCAATCGTCAACTTCCCTTACTTATGCAGCAATATACCCTTATCACCTGCATACGGGGTTTATATCTCTCAGTTGATTCTATACGCCAGAGCATGCTCTACGTATGAACAATTTTTAAAACGAGGTAAGTTATTGACAAACAAGTTGATGAAACAAGAATATCAGCAGTCTCATTTAAAGTCATCATTTCGTAAGTTCTATGTTCGATACAATGACCTTGTCAGCAAATACAATCTTTCACTAAGTCAAATGCTGACTGAATTTTTTCATACTTATTGTTAGGCCATTATTTACACACTGAATTGTCAACGGATTTTCCCGTTATTCCCCGAACATGACAAGGAGCACACGGTGGGTGTGACCGGTTGGCAGGGGATGCTCACTCCTCCATGGCACCTGATCCCATCTCTGATGTTTTGGAGGTCTATGTTTGCTCTGCTCCTATTTTGTAATGTTTAATGGACTTTTGAGCTTGAATACTGTTTGTTATCTCCACATATTTCATTTTGTTAGAAATCTATCACACAGCTTTATATTTAGACTAGTATATAAACACAAAATTAAAGCTAAATACCATCATTAAATATACGGGTAGTGAATATATCTTAGTTATTTGGACTATATTTGGTCACTTTCAAGGCAGGCTTTTCTCCTACAAATTTTCTTCGCCTTTGATATTATTTCCTTTAACAAAACATCTTATTTGAAACATACTTACCTTAATTTTAAGATCTTTTCTTTAACAGCCACACAAATATAAAGAGGAAAATTTGTAAGAAATGTGACCTGTTACTGCATGCCGGAATAACGGCCAAAGTTAGATTAACCAGTAAGTATAGAATGCGAGAAAATAACAAAAAACAAGATCATTTTTAAAAACACATGAATATCTAATCCACTTTTAGTCTAACTCTTGTTTAGTTAGTTTTTGGCTTTTAGCCTACTCAGTTTTCCAGAAGCAATGGACAGAAATCCCATACAATTGTACATAGGGTGTAATCTGTTTTAATACACGTTCATGTAAATTTGAATTATTAGCTTTATTTATAAGAATTTTTCAGTGGTGTATCCCTGAACAATCATCAGTTGGACTAAATTTCAACTAACTGTATGTTCTTGTTATATGGAAAGGACACTTATTCTTGTTTTATGAAAAGGACACTTTCATAATATCGCTATACATAAGCAGCTATTGCTACAGATTATTATGTCATAATATAAAAAAAATATATAATAATTTCTTCCATAAAATATTTTCACCTTCTAAGCCTGGCTGTAATCAGCAGAGATTGTTATGTTTTAATATGCCATTTCTTTGTCCTTACCTGCTAAGTGTTGATGTTTTAGGGTCACCAAACAGAGCAGTCACAGTGCAGTGTATTGAGTGTAAGAATGTAAAGAAATTTCCATGTAATAACCAAAATTATAAGATCTGGATAGAGAAATATGAAAATCTTCAAGAAACAATGAAGTCATAAAAATACCATCATCAAAGTAGCTGAGAATTATGGGAAGTGTTCTTCTGTGTGCAAAAAAACTCATAATGAGACATTAGGAATCACAGGTTCTGCTGACTAAGAGGAGAAATGAGTTACTCAAGCCCAGACTGAGTTGCCATCAAAATATCTATCCTGTTTGCTGCTATACTTCACTGGTAATTTGACAACAAAGCAAGAAGAAAAAAAGCCTGAACTTAGAAATTTATTTGTACAAAGATCATTCTAGATATGTTAAAATTAATATCAACAGTATTGAGTTGCATTCAACCTTACAAAAACATTCTTATAAATACCTGTGCAATATTATGTATTCATTCCACTCCCTGATATTTAGTAATAATAACAAAAAATAATTTGAAAAAAAAATGTTAATATTACAAAATTTAAAAAAAAAATCATAAAAGTGCTTAGTAATAAATTATTGACAATTAAATTTACTGTTGTTGATTGAATCAACCTTCAATAAACCATGGTGGGTGAAGACTGGCCCAAAGGCCACGATGGTTCAACAAAACATGATCAACCAGAACAATTGAAAAAAAAACAGTTATGTGCTGTCAATAGAAAACAGTACAGTTTAAATCATCATCGCCTCTTACGGGCATTTGTAGAAGCAGGCCTAGTTTGCAATGACAAGTTTATTTTGGACAGTCCATGTATCCATTTTTGTGAATTAATTCTTTACAAGAACACATAATGATTTGCTAAACACATTAACCAAGAGAGAGAGAAAAAATAAGTGTACAAAGGCTTCATAGTGTGTTAATGAGAAAAATTTTCCAAATCAGTTTCAAATGGTGTTTAACAAAATTTTGACTTTTCATTTAATATTGACAAATTTCCTGAACCATTTGTGTGGTGCTCAAAAAAAAAAATTCTCTGTTAAAAATATTGATCAAAACCTAACCTCATCTGTTTTGTTAGACTTTTTCAGGAACCCCATCATTAGTTCCACATGTGTGAACATAATCATTTATCTACTGGGTGAACTCAGAACATGATTACCTGTGATATGTAGTATTAAAAAAGGGTGCCAATTAAATTGTTAAAACTTCATATCATTAGATTACAAATAATTTTAAGATTGGAAATAAATTGTCTTTGTGACATCATGAAAAACATCAGCTCCAAAACTGCTCAAGAGCCTTTGTTTTAAAGCATCATAGATTCTGATGATCACATAAAATCAAACATTTCTGGTGCAGATTTGATAGAACTACAGATCAAACTTTGTTCTGGAAGACTTGAAAGTAAAAGGAACATCTTTAACCCTGCTTCCCTAAAAAGAGAACAAAAAAAAATCAATTAAGTACACCACTACAGCATATGATACAACTATCAAATATTGTTCAATTATCAAAAACAGTTTAGAATGCATGGAAGAAAATCATGTCAACCTGAACTGAACTGAATTTATTAATCTCTTCACAAAGATTTCAATGATTTTTCCTTTCCTAATTTTTGATGTGCATCTTCTGTGCTGTAGTAATTATCAGAACAAATATACATCATTTATTTCTCAACTGGCTTTGTAAGAGTTTTACAAATTTGTCCATTGCATTTTTTGAATGATTAACAATGCTACAGACTAATAAAACATCAAAACACTAATCATTTATATTTTTTAGACTGTAAAACTGTCATCTACATGAGACATGACATTCTGCAATCTGTTGTTGAGATATAAAAATTAAAATAAAATATATATATATAAACAATCACTCAATATTAAATTAGTTTTAATTACTTAAATACACCAAATTTATTTTGAAAGTAATGACTAACCAACAAGAACTCTCTATTTTGACAGATACTATAAATTCCAATTAAGAGGTCAGATTCCTGTGCCCAATTCCCAAGAGATACAGATAACACCTGAGATCAGAGATGCTCTACCAGAAATCTTCTTAATACATAACTCTTAAGATGGACTTATAAAAACCCATGATTTTTTTTCTTAATTAGAGAAACATTGTGGATGTGATCATGTGTACCTTAATTTCTTTAATAAGTTTTTAAATCAAATTGTACCTTCAAATGGTTGAAATTTGAGGGAAGCACTGAATATTCAGTATCTATTCATTCCTTTCTTTGGGCCATCTCCAAGAAACTCATGCCCAAGTCCATTCCCACATTTAGAACACGATATCTAAAATCAGAACATAGAGTCATGCTCCTCAGTTAACAATTAAGTTATTAACTAAATAAAGCTGTTGACTACACAGATTTAATTTGGCATGGTGTACTGTTTATTTGTTTAATTAAGTAGAAAATATAGTAAATATTTATTTACATTTACTGTGGAATGATCATTATTCGAGATGACAAATATTTGTCCACAAATTTACATCCCCTTGAATAATTACTTTGTCAACACATTGATTCCTTGAATTTTCTGTATAAACAATCCACCTGAACCATTAAAATTTTGCTTGCCCATGAGAACTGACCACTTAAAAAATAAAATGATTCCACACTGACAGTATGTCTTACTATTATTTCACATGGACTTGTGTTCTAAACTAAACACACCTTTATTGCTGTTGGGCTTTCGTTGACTCGAGAAACAGAGTCCTCCCTGATCAAATGGGTGAAGGCTGGCCAGGGGGAAGAATGCTCATATTTTGTCTGACTATGAAAAAGCTCATTTCCACAATTGGAACAAACGTAGATTCCTGAAATTTAAACATTTCTTTTACCGTTTATCTCAAAGTACACATCCCATTTTCAACAGTGTGTAATATAGGGTTCATGATTTGTGAGAACTGTATATAGAAATTCTGCATGGTAAGTTTTCAGAGGATTCAAATTGCATTTACGTAACTTGACATTTTTCATGTCTGTGAAGTCAATTTAAATATACCCTTTAATTCAAATACGTAAAGCTGAATGTAATTTAAAAAATGTATACCTTTTTCAAAGTGATCTCGAAATTTTTCGCCAGAAAACCAACCACAGAATGACATCCTGGCTGACTCAGTCAGTCAGTCAGTCACACTCAGTGTCACTTATCAGTCCGTGACTTATTATGCAGAATGTCGAACCCGATTTTATTTCTTCTGCATGCAGACGTGCATGGTATAACCACCCACCCCTCCCTTTCCCACAGCCTCCTGAAAACTTTTCAAAGACACGATAGTTTACCAAAAATTATAGTAAGTCCTAGTAGACAATGGGCTATCAAAGGTATTAAATTAAAATCGTGAAAATGAAAAAAAACCTCTTTGATTCTCATGAATATATGTACATCAGGAACTTTTTGAAAAACAAAAATATGAAAGTGTATCAGTGGTGGATCTATAGGGGGGTTACGGGGGTTGCAACCCTCTCCCCCTTTGGATTTCTTAAAAAGAGAGAAGGAGAGAGAGAGGAGAGTCCCGAATATTTGTTGTTTTTTATTTTTCCAGGAACGGTTTTACTTTTGTCTAGTTTTACCACATACTTTTTCCTGAAGTGGTGCTTTACCGGTTTTAAGTCAACATCATAAACGTGATATTTTGAATGATCAATTTATGGATCATTTACGTGAAACGAGAAGGAGATTGATATCTGATTATAATCATATTACAATACAATATTTATTGGCGCAAACACAATTACAATACATGTAATTGACAAAGGCACAACATATAAGAATCATAAATTGCTCATACATTTATACAATATTCTAGAATGTAAGGATATGCATAAATCATACAATCATTTGTACAATGATTATGTAATACAATCATTTCTAGATATATGACATTATATATATATATATATATATATATATATATATATATATATATATATATATATATATATATATATATATATATATATATATATATATATATATATATAAATGAGTGTTATTTTGAGTATTTCTGGACATTGGCTATTAAAGCAAAGCTGAACTTTTTAGTACAAGACATATTTGATATTTTTTCCTGAAAAAAATCATCAAGTTCCTTTCAAAAGTTAACCTATGATTATTGTATTTTTGGCAGCTGAATAGAAAACGAAATTCATCTTCAACCTCTCCTGTGTTGCAAATATTACAAAATCTTTCATCTGTGGGTATAGACAAATGTCTCTCTTTTTCTATGGCAAGATAATGTGCCTGCTAATAATTGATCTCTCTGTTCTTTTTATATATATCAGTGTATCCACAGCGTTTAAAATTATCAAAAACAATTTGGTAAAATTTTAGTTTTGGTGAATTATGAATCTTTGCATATTCCTTTTGTAAGCATTGATCTTATATTCATTGCTTTGTGCTTCTCAGAAGTGATTTTATTGAATTTTCTTTTTTAGTAATGAATGAAAATCCTAACTTGTTGAAAAATTACATGTATTAATATATAAGTTCTCTCCGAGTTTATCAAGTTTGAATATCCAAAATACCTGCAGTTGCCGTGGAACTAAAAATGGTTCATCTCTTTCTAAAAATTTGAAATTTTGCACAACTTTAAAGAATATTTGCTGGGGTCGAGGGGACATGCTTATGTTTCGGCTTGCAAAAGCAGTGTATTGTTTAATTTGTTTTTATTTTTGGCTTTTTCCTTTTTTCCCTTTGAAGAGCTACTCGATTCAAATAATCACAAAATAAGATGTGGAACCTTACGATAACACAGATTTTAGAATTTCTCACACTCTCTTTCTAAAACGGATCAATCTAGATAAAATACTGGGCTTCTAAAGGGCAATTTTCAAATCACTAAAGGTGGTCTGATTTACATTTAAATTTGAAATTTAATTCTATTTTAATTTTACATGTATCTAATCAGTTTCTGAGTATAGTATTTTGCTATAGTAAATTTTCCTTCAGATGCTGGGTGTCTCCCCTCCCCCCCCCCTCCCAACACATACACACATACTTTTTTGTGACTGTTAAGTCGAGAACTGGCATATTATAAGCATGAATAGAAGTCTTGTCATCATATAACTTGAATCTTTTAAAAAAAGATGTTGCACTCTTGACCAGAGATATATAGATCTGAAACACAGGCATACCCTTTCATTGTTAAATCTATTTGGTAAAATGTTCTTTGTGTCTTTATTTTCCAAAATAAAAATCAAAGAATTCTCAAATATTGCACTCCTGTCATTATTGGGTATGCACAGATACTTGACGCTCATTAATGCTGCTTGTGATTTATATAACATTTTTAAGTTTTAAATTGTATATCAGTTATTGTTTTACACTTTGGAAATTCTTCTTTGACTTAAATGTCTTTCAGATTTTTTAAATCAATGTTGTTGTTTGTTTGTTTGTTTTGTTTTTTTTTTGTTTTTTTTTTCTTTTGCAACACTACAATTTTTCTGCATGTTGCACTCGTGTCATGGTATAACATTTTTTTTCAACAACTGCCATGACCACAACTTGGTCAACTTGGTCAAAATAAAAGTTGCTACAGTCTACATTTAAACTCAATACTTTGAATATTATCAGGAAAGTCTTTATTTCCAAAATAAACCATTCTTATTTATTTCACAGATCTTCAAACAATATTGAATTTTCAAAAAGTCACAAAAAGTTGTTGCACCCCTGACATTTTTAGCATCATTTTTGGGCATAATTTTGAGATATCAATAAGATATTTGGCAGGTATTTAGACACTATCTAAAGACATATGCAGAGAAATAGAAATTTATTCCCCTTGCCTGTATTTTTAGTGAAGGTTGATATGTGTTTGGTCATTTTTTTTTTAATTCACCCACATCAAGACATGGGGACTTTGTAAAGATCTGGGTCACAAAAAAATAAATATTCGTTTAATGAAACAAGAAAGTTATTAAGATTTTTGTCCCAGCCAATCAAAACGAAGAACTCGTGCATGCACATGTATTCATGCTTGTTCAACAGTGTCAACTTGTTTTCACTATGTATATTTGTTTATATGTACTTATTTTCAAAGCAATTCATTAAAAAATGACAGTTAAAGCTATTTCAATTAAATCAGCCATTTCAATCTTCGCACAAACATGCACATACATGCATGTGCGCACAAAATGAGCTTCGCTCGTAACATCGCATCGAGAACGCTCGCGGAAAAAAGGATGGAAAAGAAAGAAGAAACAAAGTGAAAACAATATGTTCCCAAACTTCGTTAAGAGGGTCTGTAGCATTGTTCAAGTGTGATGTAACAGAATATCCAGTATATCATGTACGAGTCATTTCTAGCAAAACGGTCAGAAAAATTGTGTAGATACATGTATAAGATCATTGGCCTTGTCATGATTTGTTCTTTTAAGGAGCGTTTTTTTTTCTAAATTTTTAAATAATTTGTGCATAAATAATTTTAGAGAGTGTTACTTTTGTCTATTGATTATGGTGTTCTGCAGGTTTCATGCATTTCACTCGACCCAGTAAATCAACATTAAGTCATTTTCTGTCTAAATATATTATTTCAAATGAATTTGATGCATTGGAAATGAAATTCAAACAAACAGAAGCACGGAAAAGGGGGGGGGGTGTCTTTTACCATGCCAAGAAAAGGTACGCATTCCAGTTTTAGAGCGAACTCAATAAAAGCGGAATTAGCGTTAATCTGTGATTTTTCCCCAGGGAGATGTGTGCAAGGCAATTAATGTCAGCAGTTTTGAGGGAAGGATCTTAAGTTTTACTGGTTTGAAATTAAAGCTAGAATACTTACTATTTAGAAGCCTTTGCCCCTTTTTTCCTGTTGTTTTTTTCTAAAGGAGGGGGGGGGGCGATTTTCCATGCAAATCATATGCGGTTAAAAAAGTAAAAAAAAAAAAAAAAGAAGAAGAAAAAGAAAGTGAAATAAATTGTAGTGAACTAATTAATTGTTCAGTAAAAATTAGACGCCTTTCAAATTTTTCAGTGTTTATATATCAAAATATTTTTTTCCTAATATAAATTAACATCGGGCACGATGAACTTGGTTGTTGTGGAAGTCTCGCGCCTTATTAAGGTATCATAGCGGTAATTGACCAATGAAAATGAACTTTGTCAATTGTAGTTCCATACATATAAAATTATTATTTTTTCCTTTTGAATTTTTTTTTTAAATTTCCTTCCAGTCTATTTTTACAATTTTGGTACCTGTGTCTAGTGCATTTTATATATTTTGTAAATAAATAAAGGTTTTTGACAGGAACTATTTTTTTCAGGGCATAGGAGGCTACTTCCTGGGGTAGAAGTTTATTTTTCTTTGACTAAGAAAACGGAAAACTTAGGATCCACCCCCTCAAATCTGCTGCCGTTAATTGTCTCGCCAGGGTTGGGGGAATATGGGTGATTTGCATCAATTACACTTTTATTGACTCCATCGCTGTGGAAAAATGGACGGGATTTCTTGGCATGGTCAGAAAAATTGTGTAGATACATGTATAAGATCATTGGCCTTGTCATGATTTGTTCTTTTAAGGAGCGTTTTTTTTTTTTCTAAATTTTTAAATAATTTGTGCATAAATAATTTTAGAGAGTGTTACTTTTGTCTATTGATTATGGTGTTCTGCAGGTTTCATGCATTTCACTCGACCCAGTAAATCAACATTAAGTCATTTTCTGTCTAAATATATTATTTCAAATGAATTTGATGCATTGGAAATGAAATTCAAACAAACAGAAGCACGGAAAAGGGGGGGGGGGTGTCTTTTACCATGCCAAGAAAAGGTACGCATTCCAGTTTTAGAGCGAACTCAATAAAAGCGGAATTAGCGTTAATCTGTGATTTTTCCCCAGGGAGATGTGTGCAAGGCAATTAATGTCAGCAGTTTTGAGGGAAGGATCTTAAGTTTTACTGGTTTGAAATTAAAGCTAGAATACTTACTATTTAGAAGCCTTTGCCCCTTTTTTCCTGTTGTTTTTTTCTAAAGGAGGGGGGGGGCGATTTTCCATGCAAATCATATGCGGTTAAAAAAGTAAAAAAAAAAAAAAAAAAAAAAAAGAAGAAGAAAAAGAAAGTGAAATAAATTGTAGTGAACTAATTAATTGTTCAGTAAAAATTAGACGCCTTTCAAATTTTTCAGTGTTTATATATCAAAATATTTT